AGATAAGGAGAGGATAGGAGATTGCCCACATGAGTAGAGATTTTGTAATGTTATAATCATTTGCTGAGCAGAGATATTTATCTACTGTTATAGAAGGAGGTTTCGTATCTCTATTGTTTTAAGATAATGTTTCATATATTGTCAAGTTTAGTTGTTTTCAGTGTTATAACTCACTTGGTGTGTGTAAGGAAAGAATAGTAAGGAAAACAATAATAACCATAAATAAGTAAATGAAAAATCAGTTCCTTAATGTTATTACATGCTATTACACTTGGTAAGTTACATTTTTTTAAATATATACTTAGTTCATGCAATTTAGAGAATTCTCATTAAGAACTACAAATTAGTCCTCTGTACTTACAATCATAATTGAGGCCAGAAAATTCATTAAGTGGTAATTAACTGAGGCATCACATCACCGTACCCAGTTTTATGAACTTTTTTCAGCAGGCATTAAGTGAATCACCACAGTCATTAAGTGAATCACCACATCACATAATTGTGACCTATAATCTTCCCTGCTGGTTTGTCCACTTTGCTTATCCTGAAACCAGATTGGAAGGTCACAAATGGTGATCACATGACTGAAGGATGCTGCAAACATCCTAAATGTGAGTTGGTTGCCAAGTGCCCAGATCACAATTACAGGACTGCAAAGAAGCTGCAATAGTCATAAGTGTGAAGATTGCAGTAAGCCACATTTTCAGCACCACAACTTCAAATGGTCAATAAATAAATGGTCAGAAATTGAAGATTACCTGTATGAGGATGTTGGGAAGCACTCGGCTTGGCAGGGAGGAGGGGTCAAGTGTTGAGTTAGCCTGGAGTTACTGCAAAACCACAAAAGGGCTAGAGCTGACCCTCCACCCCCAGGTTCCTTGGAGCCTTATCTAATTGTTCCCAGGAGTCTGCTGCCATTACTGACAGAACATAATAAAGTAGTTAGTTTGAAATCTGAATATGTGGGCCTGGGGGCCTGGGAATTCATGCCTGACAACAGATCTTGGAAATCAGAATTATACACACTTGAAAGACCTATACTATTCACAATATTTTATGAATATTATAAAAAAGATAAATGTACAAATTTTCTGACTATTAAAGATGAATACATGGTGAGTAAAAGATCTATATAAAAGATTTGACACTGATAAGTATTAAGCCTATTGATTTCAGTTTTTTCTTCACCAGAGCTCTTTTGCTATTCTGATAAACAGAAAATTATGATGATGCTTTGTACCCAAACATGTTTTAAAACATGTTTAAAACACTGATAGCTGCCAGATAGGGTACCTTTAAAAGTGAACTTAGCAGGTCTATAGTGGATCAGGCTATTAGTAGTTTCTAATATGGATTTATTATTTCCTGAATATTAGCTGACTATTGTTTTCTGCCTATCATTTACCAGCTGGTGGCAGCAAAGAGTTAAGAAAATAATTTTTTTATTGAGTAATAGCACAAAATCAGTTGATTTCTGGTTATTTCACGCCCATGCCTTTATAAAAGATCCTAATGTTCAAAAGTTTGTAGGCAATGAAAATTTGTAGGTTCCTACAAACATCTGTCATTCTTTTTCAGTCTTCCTGAAGAAAAACATTTGAATTTTTCTTCTGCACATTAGAGTAAGAGAGCAAAGACGGAAAATCTCAAATATTATGATCATTCAGTAGAGATGTTGCATGAAATAACAATTGTAATTTCACAGGAACATGGAGAAACATTGGATTAAGGCAGGTTCATAGATAGTGTGGAAAAAAATCAAAAGACCTGTAATGTCTGCTTTGGTAAAACCAGGTCATTCTGTAAAACAGAATAGTACACTACTTCTCTACAGTGTAAATCTATTTATTAATATGGCTTATTAAAAATACAGGGCTACCTACATATGTTCAGGAATATGAAATGTTATATAATTAGATGGGAATTCTAAGAGTTGAAGTATAACACTCCTGGCCATATTTTTAAATGAACTTATCAATGAAAAAGCAATATTGTACTAAGCCAGTGGAAATAGAAGAATGAATTGTTGATCACTGAGCAGAGGAAGACACCACTTCAATTTCAAAACAAAGCAAGGATCCAGATTCCTTGGCTTTCCAGCCCTTTGATTCTACATTGCTGTGTTTCATTTTTGCTTCCCTTCTATTAGCCCTTTCAGGTAGGCCAAATCAAAAAACAGACAGGAATGCTACTTTATAGTTATATGACGGAGTCCCCAATCTGTGGTCTATGGCCTATTACCAGGCCATGGCCTATTCGCAACCGGGTCCCATGAGTAGTGAGTCAGTGTGTATGCAGACCCACTTGCACAAGTGGCAGGGGAGACTCACACAAACGAAGCTGTGTACGTGCACCTGCTCCTTGCACAAAACCATTCCCTCTTCTCCCTTGCCCCAGGCCGCCAACCTAGAAACATTGGGGAATGCTGTTGTATGGTATAATACTCTAATACAGTGGTCCCCAACCTTTTTGTACCAGGGACCAGTTTCACGATTATTCATTCTTTGCGGCCCGGTACAAAATGATCCACGGACCGGTACCGGCATCAGCACGCACGACCAAGGCAAGGCAAGGTGAACCGAGCAACCAGCCAGCCAGCCATCCCCCACTTCTCCCTGCCACCTTCAACTCCTTCTTTGTACCTTCTCGCGGTTGATGGGCTTTTCGGGCTCTTTCTTAATCTCCTCCTGAGTAACGCAAGACTCCACCGCCATCAGGACGGCTCTTCGTTTGAAGCTGCCCCCCCTTCAACGAAACTAAGGCGGGAGGATTCCTTCAGCACCCAAACGCCGCTTTCCAACAGACGACTGACAAGCTCACCCGGAAGCACTTTCTCAAGCACCGTCGAAACAAGATGGCGGCGCCCAAGCAAAATAGGCGGCCCGGTACAAAATGATCCATGGACCGGTACCGGTCCGGGGCCTGGTGGTTGGGGACCACTGCTCTAATAGATTCTGGAAACCCCACCAGATTTTCTATCTGCCCTGTTTATACCTAGCCAAGCCAAGACTGGGTAATTTTGACTTTCCTTTTCACCTCACATTTTTGATAGCTGTAAGAAGGGTGATCAGAGACAGAGGAAAAAGCTGTTAGTACCTTAGCATCATGGATCTGTAAAATGTCCCATAAACAAAATATTCTGGGCCAGAACCAAACTACATGCAGTTCAAATATTTTGGTATTATTTGAATAAAACATGTTTGGTTATTCTGGATATGAAATAAGAATTTTGGGGTGGGGAGAAAGGTAATGTTGGGGATAATGTGTGTCTATAATTAAATGGTGTTTGAAGAGTAATGAAAGATTTAAAAAGAGAGACTGGCTCCTTGCATAGCTGTTATGTCGGGCAGGTGTTACATGCTGCCCTTGAAGTTAATGAGAACATGGCAGTAATAGACATGCAAAGTAGAACCAATGTGCTTTGCCCTGCTCACCCTGAAAAATCTCTATGATACCTCCAAATTTCTTTTGTTTTTCTGCTGAATCATAGCCTATCTGAAACAATACAGGATGTGAAGATGTGTTTTGGAATTGAAATATTTTCGGATTCATGCACACCCATTTAGCATTCCATACACCTTAAAGCATATCAGGTATCTATTATATTTCAATCACTTGATCATATAAATATTCCACAATACTTAGATAAAAGAGGTATAACAACTTGCTTAAGTTCTGAATACTAGTCAAAAATACTATTTGAAATACTTTTTATTTGTATTCCACACCTTTATTTTTATAAACTCAAGTAGTATTTTTATAAACCACCCAAGTCTGTAAATATCTAGTATTTTAAGTAAATATTCAGAAAAAAATCGATCTTTTCTGATCCTGCTTCAACCATTCACAACACAGTATGTTTCTCCCAATAAGAATTTTACTTCCCCGTCATCCATCTTACAGCCCCCCCCCCCCCCATGCACCCTAGAATTGCTCTGAAGAAATTCACAGATCCTCAACTGCAGTTCTAAAGAGAAGTTTCAGGAGAAAATCATCCATCAATCTCCATTTCATAGTTACGTGCTTGTGTATGTGTGTGGTGTGTGTATATTGTAAGATCCATGTTGATACCACAGGATGTTTATAATTCATTCACATCCTTTTTTTATACCTGAGAATAGCTCTCTGTAAGAGCAGATAAGTGAAAATATGTAATCAATCTCAATTTTCTTTTTAAAAATGGAATAGTAATCTGTATTTTTTCTTTTCATATAAAATTTGCTTTCATACAATGCATAAACTGATCATTTATGTACTCCAGCTGAGATTAATTCTGGAGGTTTTTAAACGATTAGACAACTTTTTGTTCAAAATCATATGAAGATCCTGCTTTGGACAGGGGACTGAACTAGAAGACCTTGAAGTTCCTTTCCAACCCTATGATTCAATTGGCACTGACATGTGAAAAACAAATTAAGTTTTATGTAATAAAGTATTTGGCATAAAATACACACATCATCTTTTTAAATTATTGAAGAGCAGAATACTATATAATCAGTTAATGCAGCATTAGCATATTGGCTAGGGCTTTCAGCACTGGGCAGACGTACAGTTCCTATGTTCACATTTGACGTATACAGAAGATAGCTTTTTGTAAAAAAAAAAATGACCTAATAGAATCTTTATATAGCTAAGCAGTTCTTGGTCTTACTAGTGCCTAAACAGGATACCATTTCAAAAACCTGTGTACTTGCTTTTTGTGCAATCTTGGAATAAAGGTTGAACATAAATATAACAAAAATGTTTTTAAATAGACTATGTAAAATAAAAGAGAGACCCTTTCAAAGTCTAACTATTTATCTTGGTTAAATCAAGACAATCACAGATAATGATTTTTCCCAAATCTTTGGCTGTATTGCAATGGTTGTTTCAATTTGTAGTATCCAGCTAAACATTTCCTATTATGGGTTAACAATATATTTTTACCAATACGTGTATTTTAACAGTATTTATCCAACATAACAAAATAAACTGCAATTTGTCATATTTTTTACAAAACATTTTATAAATATTTTTACAAAATGTATACAAAGCAATTTCAAGTGAGACATACTATACAAATGAAAGTTTTTAAGCAAATGAAGTTCATATTACATTGACAAAAAGTGACACATCCTCTTTCAGTAAAGTCAGTCTGTAAGGCCTCCCAAATCTAACAGATCAGTTATGCTGACCTTGTTGAATCAGATTTTTTATAGTTGCCAGCTAAAAATGTTTTAACTTTAGACAATGTGGAAAGACATCAGGTAGTCAAGAGACCAAATCTACAAAGCAGGTAAGCACAAATAAATGGCCTTCACTGGATTTAGGATCATGGGCTGCATAACAAATTCACACTTTGTTTCTTTACAATGAACAAAAATATTTTTACTGCATTACCATTTAAAATATTCAGAACTCTAAAACCAAGTTCAGTTTAATAAATAAATACATTAGCTATCCCAGGTTAATTCAGCTGAACTTCGTTCAGTGGGTTCCCAGCACAAAATCCTGGGATAAATATAGGTATGATTTAATCCACATTGATGAAGTGCATTTCAGATGTCTTGGCTAAGACGTTATCTAAAATTAAACTCTCACCTAAGATTCAAAACATATACACTTTATTTTGGTATTTAGGTTCAGAATATTCTGTACATACAATGGGAACTTTACACTAGCAGGTAAAATCAAAATAAGAAGTTGTACAAATGTGAACATTTTTTTTTACATTTCCAATCAGATACTACTTAAACCAATTTATGTGACTGGTGCAATATACACCCTGCTTTCCAAATTACCTCATTATGGTTACAGTTCAATTATGTTTCCTTCACAAAACCTTGAGGGAAAAGCACCTTCTATTCTCTTTATGTTACTTAAAAGAAACAAATAATTGAAGCCATCCTCGCAAAAAATAAATTTGTGAAAATGCCAAGCCACCAATTATAGTTATTTAAATTATGGTTGCCATGAAGTGTACAAAATCCTAAGCCTGTGACTTTAAAATCCACACACTTTTTTTTTTAAAGGAGGCAATAAAATTAAACATTTTTCTATTCCTATTATATGTGGATGGTACATTAACTGTTACTCTTTTGCTGAATTAAATGATATTATTAATCCATGGCAACGTGATCACAATACAAGAATGGTAGTGTGTTTTCTGTGTTGAATAATATAACAGAATTCAGTTTTGCTGAATTATTTGGAATAAAGAAAGGAAAATGTGACTCTAAACATTCTGGCAATCTGACAGACAACCAGTTCATCATTGCTATGTAGCAAAACTACATGGAGCTTTACAACTGAATGAAGATCTCCATCAGATCAGCATCAGAGAGTCCTCAATAAATTTTAAATATTTCTGTAAAGAGAAGCTGCAGACAAAGCGTCTTATAAATCACAGTTCTCTGTCCTTTTGAGCGGGCATAATTGTATGCAACAGCATTAAAGAAAGTTTGTAGATTTTTTTTCTTTAAACCTGGCAACCTAGAAGGAAAAATTTAAATAAAGAAATTTACATTATCAATATGATCACCAGCCAAATGCAAACCATGCGTGAGGTTCCTTTGTCTCTAGATGATGAGATATATGCTTTTACATGTAATTTTGTTAATGGATAGAAATTTAACTTTGGTTTGTATGTGTTTTGGTAATACGACCACTGCTGCAAATGGATTAACATTCTGAACAATTAGAAGCAGAAACAACCAAAATAACACTGTCCTTTAACTTGTTCAGATTAAGCCTAGTACTCCTTAAACTATAAACATCTACTATAACAACACAATTTTTAAGTAAAAATGCTTGTCATACTTTGTTTAGAAAAACATAATACAATTTCAGAAATATTTAGTTGATTATATCCAATTATAAAATACAAAAGCTTTTGCTGAAGAATCAATGTGTCAATCAAAAAGGTGTTTTGGGGTATATGTGTATGTTATGTGCATGACTACTTTGTAGCCTCTTTTTATATTTCCTATCTACTAGCTTTTATAAACTTTATGTTTATTGTTCCATACCAAATTAACTTAAACTCTACAATGTTATTCCTCTGAATTATATTGGTTTCTGCTTATGGAGCAGTTGAATAGCACTTGAAGTATAAAACTCTGTAAATTCTGCTTATAATTTCTGTTTACATTTTTTTCTCCATTTCTTGTAAATCTGACAAAGACATTTCTGCAAAGGTAAACTGTAAAAATTTTAACTAGAGATTTAAATTCTGACAGGATATAGAGAGCATTTTAAATTTTTCTTATTAAATATTGATGGTATTTACACCTCTTAGTAGACTGTGATTGTCAATACCAGTATACTACATTATGTACGGTTTAGTAAATTAATGTTTCATTAAGCTGCAACATCAAAACTGTTTATACGAGCAATGTAATCCGGTGGTTAGAGTGTAACACTTAGCCACAGATCATGATAAAAGATGTTGGGAATTTTCTGTTCCATATTTTATTAACCACAGTTTTGTCATGTTGCCAACTCTGGATTATACAACCCTAATTGTAACTATTGGAAAGCCAAAAATTGTAAATCATGGTTCATGAATCTAGTTACTCATTATAGCTTCAACCTCAGGCAACACATTAAACTATAGTTTAAAATAGAAACAAAAGCTTCTGATCTTACCAGTTGAGTTGGAAGAAGAGAGGGAAGGGAAAGACTCACTGAGAATCATTCTTGAAATGGTAAAGAACATGGTTGAGAATTACATTCAATCACAGCCAACGAATAGGCCTTACCAAACAGTTTTCTCTTAAGGTTTTATATTACTGGATACCTCACTGTAACCACAATGAGTATTGCTCTCAAACAAAGAACAGAACCTACTTTAGAAAGTACACATCAGTGGTATCTTTCACATTTGTTTCTAAGGAAGATTTGTCCACAGTACTGTAACTATTAACACTCTAAGATACTATTTACAGCAGCTTCCAAAAGAGAGTCAGTTTCTACAATGCTTTCATTGTGGTCTGGAATAAACTTCTCCAGGCAGTTTTCCTGCGGAGCAGTAAGTGAACAGTTAGGATACTCTAGCGAGCCACTAGCAGCTGCCTCACTTTGTGGCTGCCTTTCAGTCTTTTTCAATTCTACTATATTTTTGAATGTACTTTCTAAACTCTTATTGGCAAGCAAATCCTTTTGGGGTTTTCCAGAAACTTTCCAGTTGTCTGGTGGCAAATCCACATTCTTTGGAGAACTCCGAGGAGTTTTATCTTGGAGGGAATGATTATATGCTGTTTCTGAATGAGAATCAACTGTATTCCAACAAGTTTTATTATGCGTACCACGATCTGCATTTGATAAGAGTTTATATGAATGAGCTTTAGAAGCTAAAGAATTTTCATTCAACTTGTCAAGACCTTTAAGAGCAATTTTTTGTTCAGAAGAAGCCATATGTTGGCTTTCGGGAGAGCAGCTTTCAGAAGAGCATTTCTCAAATGTTAAAGCTTTTGCAAGATCTGCTTTTTTAACAGAAATGTTTTCTTGTGGTGGACTCACAATATTGTTAGGCACTACATGAAGTTTGTTGCACATTAAAGACTCTGCTGTGCTTGACTTGTCTCTCATTTGGGTATTAGCAGTCTGGTTTTGAAAAGTTAAAGATTTGCTAGTTTGATGATCACTTTCGTGAAGCTGTGTGTCATCATCACTCTTGTCATATTGTGTGGATGAGCAACAAAAGTCTGCCAGAAAACCATCTGAAAATCGGAAGAAAAGTATTTTAAGACTACAGTGTTGTACAATAGCAAGACATAAGGAATATTCTTTAATATTTCAGACCTGGGATACTGAAATTTTGCCCAAAGTAGAATTTTGGGACCAACGTCTTTTTTTTTTTATCATGGATCTGTAGGACACAAATACTACAGTAAGCCCCATTTACATTAAGCCACAACTAAGACATAAAAAATAAGTGATCTGCTAAATAAATAAAACATACAGTGAACTATTGTACATATTAAAGTATGGTTTTAGGTTTCAGATTGTAGCTTAAGCTGGTTAGTTCAGTGTTCAGTGTGAATCACAATGAAAAGTGTTGTAATAAAATATCCTTTAAAAAGAAGTCAAAGTGGGAAGAAAGGACCTACGAAATCCATTTGGTCTAGTGGTTAAGGCACCAGATTATAAACTGGAGACTCTGCCCTCTAGTCCTATTTTAGCCATGGAAGCCAACTGGATGCTCGGGCCAATGACTCTTTCTCAATCCAACTCATCTCACAAGGTGGTTGTTGTGGGGATAATAGGAGAGGAAGATGCATTGGATATGTTTGCTGTCTTGAGTTACTTATAAAAATAATAAAGGTGGGATACAAATAAATAAATAATATTAAGTTAAAATTACCTGACCTATTAATTATTGCTGGACTTATTAACTGTTACTTCACTGAAAACTGACAAATGCCTTCTGTACCTATATATATATATATATATATTTTATAAAATAAACTAATATTTAAGAATTTCAAAATATTCAAATTTTGTGTTGAAATTTGTTCTCAATTGCCTTCATTAATTATTTTAGCTTACAACATTTCTATTCAAAATTAGAATATTTTTCTAAATATAGAAGTAAGAAATATACTTGCACACATAGTTCCTTTTAAAACAAATCACATCATATTTTACAAGCGAAAGTGATTTAAATATTGGCCCTTGGCAAAACAAATTTATGAATACATGAATACAGGTGTATCAAAATCACACACTGTATCTGTATCTTTCCAACAAACATATTGTTTGGCGAAGTGAAGAATAGACAAACAAGTGGTGCCAGCGGGAAGAATTAAGATTAATAGCACAACAACATAGGCTACTGCATTACACTGTTATTTATTTATTAGTATGAATAAGGATGAAGTATGTTTCTTAAAAACCACATATCCATCAAGAATTATGAGACTATGTTGCATTCAATTGGCAAATGAAACAAAATGAAAAAGCAGTGAAATAAACAAAAGAAGTCTCATGTCTAGGAGGAGTCTTAGTTTCTTACCAGGATCAACTATTGCAAGACGTTTATCCCGGGACAGAGATTGTCTTTCTTCCTGGTTAAACATCCTGTCAATCATTACCATTTCTGCTGAAGGATTTATTCTCTGGAAAAGAAAACAAACAAAATCAGCTCCCATGTTACAAACAAAAATATGCTCCTGTTTTCTGGCCAATTGTTGAAATTATATGGGAACCATATTAATATCATATCAAACCACAATACAAAATAATACAACACAATACAATACATAAAAATAGAACTCTGTCCGTTGGGATCCAGAAGAGCCTTCTCTGTTGCAGTGCCTGCTCTTTGGAACATCTTATCCTAAGGCAAGATCTTCCCCCACCTTCCTATCCTTCCACAAGAGCCTAGACTTTGCTCTGTTGAATGGCCTGGGTGCAAATAGGATATAGTTCAATGCTGGAGGTGGCTGCTGGATTTATGGCAGATTCCTCCTCTCCCTGGTTCTTTGCTCTCTACCCATCCATCTTTCTTTTCTGGTTGTATTTCTCATTATGGTCTCTTTCATTGTTTATTTTATTGTTCTATTACTTAGCTTCTGTTCATTCATTTCATTTCTTCCTCTTCATTATTGTAAATCGTCTAGAGTAGACCCGTGGCGAGACAGTTGGCATATAAATCTAACAAATAAATAGCATAACAATTCCAGTGACTGCTGCACTCAATGCTGCTCCAGTGGTCACAGGATTGCCTTTCAGATACTTGGCAACTGGCTCGCATTTACAATGCGTCCCACTGTCAGTTTCCAGCAAAATGGATTTTCTTAACAGCCACATGATTAACTTAACAATCATGTGTGTTCTTTAACCACCATGGTGATTTTGCTTTACGACCATCATAAAAATGGTCATAAAATCATGTAGTGATCCACTTAACAACTGCAACCAAAGGAGGGAGCAAGGAATGTGGCAATGGTCAAACAGGATGTGCAAAATGTGGGTGTGGAAAGCAGCAAAGACAGAAAGAGTTCAGAAGGGCTGGGGATGATGCACGGGTAGGGGAGGCTTCCCTGCCAGATTACCCCCATTGACTTTCCAGGGAAGTCACCATAGAAGGTTGCAAATGGGAATCATGTGATTGAGTAAGGTTGCTGCTGTTTGTAGGGTGAACCGGTTGACAAGTTTCCTGACTGCGATAGCATGATTGCAGGAGTCTGCAGAGTGCTGAATTCCAAGGATTATTCATAATCACCATTCATTCAACATCACTGTAACTTTGAACAGTTGCTAAATAAATGGCTCTAGGTCAACTCTAACTGTAGTTTGACATGGGTGACTGTAGCAAATGAGGAGTATGTTATAGAACTAAGAATTTGTAGTAACCTTTGTAGTAACCTCAATTAAAAACTGGGTCGACATGTTAGCTACTTACAAATGAAAGATACTTTGAAGCTATCTTATATCTTGGAAATGAATCAATTTTGCTTCCCTCTACCTATTACATTCACATGCCAGTATTAAACAATGTTAATGTAACATTAATTAATGTTACAACTAGTTTGGCCTGAAAAAAACATATATAATTATTTTTCATTGATCTTACCATTGCATCTTCCAAAAGAAGACATCTGTATTTATTTAGCATTGACTGTGTTCTTTTCAGAAGATGTGTTGCTGCAGATTCAAATTCATTATCCACTGAAAAGGCATTAAAATACATTTAGATAGTAATTTTTAAACAATAAAATATTTATAATAAACCTTTTCCATTTTCCATTATATGTATAACATATAACTTATAAGCCCCCCTCCCCCCATACATACACACACCTTTTTCAAAATAGTAAAACGGGAAACATACCTTTCCTTAAATCCTCTTCAGTTGGCAGTGATCCTTGGCACACATGATATGAAAGAAGTCTCTGGACTGCATCCCTTAAAGATCTGAACTGACTTTTGTCAGGGGTTACAGCCTGTGCCTGATCTTTCTGTAATTGCTGTAGAATGCTAGTAGAAAGAAGACAACCATCAGCTATTTTACGATGACATCTGGAACAATTTTGCAAAATTTGTGAACGGCAAAAAATTTTAAAAGCTAAAATGTATATTGAAAGGAATAACTTACAAGGCTCCTTTGGTTAATTGTTTAGCAGCAGGTCTCTTTTGTCCTATTATCTGACCATCCACCTAGGTCCAAAATACATTTCTGTTACATTAGGATAATCTTTTATTAAAAAAAACTACAATTTTTGTATATTTAAAAATGTTATTAAAAAATCTACTGAACCACTTTCTATAAACTGCATTAATATGAATTTGAACTTTTTGTGTCATATATGAAAATAAATGGTTTATATGTTATTGAAGATAATAATTACAATTTTAGACACATTTGCCTTTGAAATTTTTCAAAAATAATCATCCTTATCAATAGGATATGCCTGTATAATCAAGCGTAAAACCAGAGTGTACTTTCTATAGTGTGATCCAAGGATTAATAAAGTATTTAAAATTTATAATGGCAACTGCCACCAAATATCTAAATTATTATTTAGTTTCATACAATTTCTCTATTTTCAAATGCACTATCAAAGATTTCCTCATGTCTTAGTTTTCAAGATTATTGAATTCAAGCAAATGAATTCAAGCAAATATGCTAATGCAGTGTTCCATGTCACAATATTTTATTATTCCTGTAAGCAAGATTATGCCAATAAACAACCTCTTTCATTTTTTATAAAAACAGAGCAAGTTCTGTTGATAAACAAATAAACGGTAAGCTGTTGAAAATAGACAGGATTATGTATTATGTATTACAGTATTATTTAGCTTCATATAATATTGATTGAGATATAGTGATAAGAGATTTACAAATGTACTATTACAGATTTTTTTCACAAATCTCCCTTCTCAAAATTATTTTTGGTGGCAAAACGAGAAATTACTTACAGAAGAAAAGGTGATCTTTTTTTACCCTACCTGCATATTTGTTTGAGCAAGCAATGACCCTGCTGTTTTTTCTTGGTGTGGTAACACTGTTCCTATAGGTTGCTGTATGATTTTGGTTCCAGAATCTTGTCCTGTAAATATATTCACTGTGAAGATTCTTTATATTACACAAAGCAAACATATTTGAATCTTCTACCTAAATATACATCACTGAAAGATATTAAATAAATTGTCACTAGGAGTGTTTTTATATAACTTTTCTAGACTAGAGGCCCCCAAACTTTGTGGCTTGGCAGTCCAGCACAGGATGAGGAGATGGTTTGGTGTGAGTGGCAGGTGAATACACATGTGCGCACAGCTCCATTTGTGGTTATGCGGCCTGGTTCCAGAAGTGGGCTGTGGTTTAGGGGTTAGCGACTATAGACTAGACTATAAAATACAAATAGTCCTTGACTCATGACCACAACTAAGCCCAGAATTTTGGTTGTAACTTGTTGCCTTCTCTCTCCTCCCAACATTCTCAAGAAGATTGACCTCTCTTGCCCTGCCCTACCCCTCCAGGAAATCTGCTGTAGGCTAGAATGCCTCAGCCATCTAAACTCAGTGGTGCATGAAAATTGTCATGGGTTAGAAGGCAATAGCCAGCTAGAAGTTGCTACAGGCCAGGCCTCAGCCCTACTAGGATTAGCAGCATGAAGAAACCTGCCTCAAACTGGATCCCCCAGCCTGCTAGGCCCAGTGGCACACAGACCTCATGCCTTCCCAATACCACTCCCAAGAAATCTAGCTTTCTTCCTCCCCTCCCCACGTCTTTTCTGTGCCCTGGAAGGCCTTCTGACTGACCTTCTGCTTCCGGCCAGTCTTGAGGAAGAATGCCTTTGGTTAGCTTTCTAACTGAACCTTGCAATGGCTGACTATGATTTTCAACAACTGCAGGAAAAACAAAAAGTAAATGGACTCAGGCATGATAGTACAGGCCTCTTGAGAGTGATGAGGGTAGGAAGGAGAAGCCAGGCCTCTCAGGAATAGTGGGGAAGGGGGAGGGAAGAGGCCTATGCATGGCTGAGCCAAAACTTTCCAGATGTGGTAGGGTACAAAAAAAAGTCAGGCCGCTCTGGAGTGGCGGGAATAAACAGAAAAGACTCATGTGCTTCTGGGCTTGGCTGGCTGACACCTGCGCATGGCAGGTTTCTGTACAACGGTGGGCACCAGGCTCCTAAGACTTACCCCACCCTCTGAGGCAGTCCTCCATGACCTACATTCTAAATTTGGTTTTAAGTCAAGGAGTACCTGTACAATAGTTATAATTCTATATATAGTTATTTAATGTAGACCTATTATATATAATTATATCTAAAAAGACCTATTATATATTATGTATAATACATATGCATGTGTGTTCATTTATAGTACACTTCTATAGCTATCGTATTTTTAACTTTCTATATTTTGTATGCCATTCCATATTTCATTGTATTTATCCATACAAAATGTATATCTATATGCAATAATTTGCAATAAGAAGCAAGCAATTCATTGAATAAATGGGACCATAGATTTATCCTTCAAATCTTGCAATATGAATCTCTTTTCCTTCAAAACCAGGAGCAGATTACAATTGTCTTGGGAAGCTTATAATAAGGAATGGACAAAACATTCCATGCATAGAACAACCAATTTGGGATGGTCCATCCCCAGAACAAAGTACATCATTCATTTCTGGATGTGAACCCCTAACATGGAGACTGACTTTCACTTGAAATATTTTACCAATAAAGGATAATATTTGTAGTTCAGGGTTGAAATGAGGGGTCCTTGGTGCTCTCTTAGCTTTTCTCAGTTCTAAATCAAATCCTTTGTATACTTAATAGCAGCAAGTTCTATGTTCACATATATATTATCAAATAGCTGGTATTTTTTAAAACATTGCCATATGTTAATAAAGTCACTGAATCACTGATATTAGCCAAAAACTTGACAAATGCACTTTTAGATTTTAATTTTACTAACTCTTTATATCTTGTCTATGTATATCAATAGTATAGATACTAATATCTACTTACAACCCAAATTTTTCAACTAATACTTAAGATCACATTAGAATGAAATCATTCATTCATGAGAGATTAGAAAGAAATTAAAATCTAATAAACTAGATTACCTAAAAGATTTGTTGGCTGTGGTTGTCTCAAGTTGTCCTGTGATTTTGATGATGCAACTGAAGATGCCAGGTTGGTTGCTTTTTTTTGAATCTGCAAAGATACAAGACAGACATGTCACACATATAATTTAAGAAAACAGATATTTAAAAAGAAATAATCCACATAAAAATATATAAGCAGCTGAGTTCCACATCATTTACCCACAGTTTTAACCTGTTATTGGTTGAATCACAATAGCTTCATTTAAGACATCATACTAAACCATAAACCAGGAACACCTAACGTATTTCTCATAGTGGAAGATGTATATCCAATAATGCAGTGACATCACTGGGGATGGGAGTGGGGTAAGGTAAAAATGCTGTCAGACTTTTTTGGAAGGGCTTCAAATTATTATGTGTGATCAATTCTTTGAGTGCTAGACTTCCTATACTATTTCTGATGTAATTAGAATTAAGGCTATTGATTCTGGTATTAACTGAAGACAGGCTTACCTTCATTCATAGAGTTGAACTTCAACTAATTATATTCAATTTACATCCTAAATCTTTATAATTGAATTGGAGCAAAGTATGGATAAAGTCCTTATTTCTCATCTATCATTTTTATATAAATGCTTTATTCATTCTCCGTATACAAATTACTACAACATTTAATTGTTAGCTTTAGTAGTTAGTTCAGATATCACAAAGTTTATGACTAAACTGTTAGTTAACATGATGAAAGTAAGTCACAGTAAGCCTGGAATTATCCACTCTCCTCTATGCCTCTTTATCGAGTATGTGAGAGTAAATTGGAAATATCCATTTAAATTCCATTTTTAACATAAAATATCATTATGTTGAAATCCCAAACTGTGGTTAATCTTGCCTTTGATTAATGAAAATAAAGAAATTCATACACTGCAATTAATTTAAAACAGAAGTGAGAAGTTCACTGAATTCTGACATTCACTGTAGTTAATTATCTCATGAAGCTCATCAAATATAGTTTTAAATGAAAACACATCTAAGCCAGTAATAAAACTTATTTCTATGAAACCAAGTTTTAATCAAAATAATAATTTCATGTAAATGGGGGGGGAGAAGAAAGTTGATATTATCACGTCAATAAAACAGCAAAGTTGTTTCAAAATACTACTTAATGTTTTAGAAGCACAGGCTGCATGATCATACCAAATCCTGCATCATTAAAGAAACTAAATTTATGGAATATTTTTGATCTTATGAATCATACCTGTCCAAAAGAAAATGGTGGCTGGGTTACTGATGTGTGACTAAAACTGCTGATAGGTTTTGAAGAAGAAACTGGAAGTCGATGTGATACACTGACTGACAACTGAGTTCTATTTTGCTGTGTAAGTTGATCTCCAGCAAAGCTTCCACTTGAAGCTACAGACTGAGCCGATGAGCCAATGTTTGAATGTACTGTAGCAGAGGAACTCACAACAGTAAAACGATTACTTGAAGATATATTTGAACCAGTTGCCTGTACAGGAGACGCTGCTGAAAATCCTGTTCTGCCTTGGGAAAGGTTTCCTTGGTTTGGAGATAAATGTAATACAGCGGAAGAGGATTGTTGCAGTGGAACCTGACCACCAACAATTTGAGAAGTTCCATGGTTGACTAGAACTTGGTTTCCAGAAGGAGAAAATGTCTGACCAGAAACTAACTGTACAGCATTCTGATTATTCAGCATTTGTCCTGAATATGTTTGGTTATTTCTGAGCATATTCGTAGAATTTCTATTTAACATAACATGCTCAGTGGATACTTGACTGGAAACAAGTTGTGAAGACTGATTCTGAAGCAGCTGTCCATTTACAGTCTGGACATGATGAACTGGACTGGGATTTACAGAGAGACTTGTGGGTATAAGAAACTGATTCTGAGACGCATGAGGTTGTCCCATTGGAGAATGGATAACAATGCTACCACTGGCATTACTTACTGTTTGGGGAGTAACTGGTTTTCTTGAATTTTGTTGACTAACAATATTAACAGACATATGTGGACCAACTACTGAATTCTGAGGGGAATTTGATGAAGCAAAGGGAATCCCTTGTTGTACATGATGCTGCTGTATTCCTAAGCTATTTACATTGTAAGTGGCTTGCTGTCCCATCTGAATTGGTTTGGGTTGAATATTGATGGGAATTTTGTTAGAATTTGGAGCAAGACCCCTCTGTATAATGATGTTGTGTACAGGCAACGATGCCTGAAAATTTGTACTATTAAATGGAACAGTTACAGGTTGTGCTACTGGGCTTGAATTTGAATTGCCAAACAATGAGTTCCCATTAGGAGTTTGTCTATGAACCAAAAGTCCACTACTCATGTTTGCAGGTGCTTGTTGTCCGCCACCCTTCAATATAATATGAGATCCTTCAAGATTATTTATGGCCATCATAGAAGGTTGATTACTAAATGAACCAATTAGTTGTATTTGTCCAGAATTACCAATCTGACTGTTTGACAAATGCTGACTGGGAACACTGATCCCCACATGTTGCATAAAGCCATGTTGCACACCAACTGTATTGCTTGTAAAAGATGCTCCAACTGGTGGCTGTACTACTTGAGTAACTCCAATAGGTTGCAGCGTTTGACCTGAGTAATTAGAAACATTAGAAGCCTGAGTAAAAGATGCTGATGAGGAAGGATGAAGCTGTGTTTGTGCAAACTGTTGATTGGAACCTATGTTGGCATCCAAATAAGCCTCTTCTGCCAAAGTCTGCTCAGTAATATTAGCTTCTTGCAAAGATTTCTGGAGGATATCAAAAGGCTGATCTTCACTAAGATCAGGCAATGGAGATGATTCAAGTTCATCATCAAGAAACTGAAGGGTACTTGGCAACTGTAGTCCATCATTAGACCCTTCTCCAAGCTGACCACCAACACCTTTGATTGATGACTTAGGATCAGAGCTCTGAAAGGAAAAAATATATAATTAAATTTCTTCAATCTTTTTTTTAAAAGTCAAATGTAGAGCATAGTTCACTATAATTATTTTCCTTTTCTCAGTTTATTATTAGAACAATAATATTACTGTTGTGCAACACTGTAATATAATTCTAACATTTTTTTAACAAGCATTGTTGGTACATAGTCATTTAAATCCCACAGAGGTCCTGCGAAGGATTAATTAAAAATAGCCTGAGAGCTCTGAATCCACAAACAATTCTATGGCCAAATCCAACAAGTCTGCTTTTAATTACCCCACTTCACAACAGGATAAAGATACTGGTATGCAAAATGTATAAATTGATGACAAGAGCATAATGTAAACGAGCGGAACACTCTCTTCTTAACCACTCTATTCGATCATTTGAATGTTGCAGCACATTTACTACAGTTTGTAGTTATTTAAGGGACTGGCAGCAAGTTATCTACTATATATCTCATTAAAAAGCTACAGCTGTTTACGTTTTATATTTTTCTTTAGAGAAAAATATAACAAAGACACTCTAATAATGTTGAAACTTTATCTAATTGCAAATCTATCATGACATGAAATATTGGGCTTTGTCATGTTATGAAATCACACTTTGGATCTGAAGGAAAGAACTACTCCAGAGTACGTACAGGAATTTTATGGCAACTCCTTAAAGCAGCTTGGTCTTCTCCAAGGACCACTTAGCTGCCCTCTGTAACTGCAGCATAAGCTCTGGAAAATATATGTTTTGTTTAGGTGCTATGTAGGTGTCTAAATGGAGACTGAAATACCCTTGAACTGTAAAGACCTGTACAGTCCTGCTATACACCATCTCAACTTGTACTATTTAGCTAGCATGTCCAGAAAGTAGGTCATCGCAATCTTTATTTTTTGTTAGAATCTACTATGTCTCAATTGCAAACTAGAAGTAACAAAGTAAAAAAAACCAATGTATTATGAGTTCAACTGACTACAAATCCTGCTATAACAGATCAGGGTATATTAAGAGGTAATTCTGGGTTACTTGTATCTGTCTCATAATTCTTTCTAATAGAGAGAGAGGAAGTAGTAGAAATTTTAGTTACACCTTTACCACTTTTCTTGATAAAATTTTCTTGTACTGTGACTTGCTCTAACTAGATACCCACTCGGGTTTCTGAATTCCAACAATTTGCATATGTGGGCGAATAGAATTCACAAGACTAAATACTTTGGGGAAGGAATAGCTTCCCATTGCAATTCATTTCAGGTGTATAAATATTGTGAAATCAAAATCTGGGAGAATAATTATTCATTAATATCACTAATAAAAATAGTAAATATATGGACAACATAGATATTAAGAGCCATGGTGGCACCGTGGTTATAATGCAGTACTGCGGGCTACTTCTGCCAGCTGTCTGTAATTTGGCAGTTTGAATCTCACCAGGCTCAACGATGACTCAGCCTTCCATCCTTCCAAGGTTGGTAAAATGAGGACCCAAATTGTTGGGGGCTATATGCTGACTCTGTAAACCGCCTAGAGATCTGTAAAGCACTGTGAAGCTGTATATAAATCTAACTGCTACTGCTATTTGATCTTATAAGATAATCAGTTACTATTTTTATTCCATTCAATTACATATAATATAAACAATGCAAATAGTCTATAGAATCTACAATAACATTGTATATTTTTTCTTTATACTTACGCTGGTATTGGCAAAAATGGAATTTGAGTTGGCTGCAGAATATCCTATGTTACTCAAGTCTTCACTATTCTGTGAGAACACAAATAAATAATCATAAACTAAGAGCAATACATTTGGAATACAACTTATTATTTAATAAGAGTTTGGCCCTTAAGTGCTAAAATTCAACATTAAATTTTTCCTCCCACTACCTTTTCATCAACAATTGTGCTTATTCTTTCCAACTTCAAGAAACTATTGTAGCCTCAGAAAGATTCAAAGAGAGTTCTCTGCCACATAAACTTGAAAAGTGCTAAAATGTAACTACCTCCTTTACATTTCCACTCATAAGGCACATAAGATTTCTTTTAAATGAAAAGAAAAAAAAATGCAGGACTGCAACCCCACATTTCTAGTTTGCTGTGATAAACTTTGCACGTCACAGAATTTGCTTTGATTCTGCAGGCATACTTCTAACAACTCTGAACAATTGTTAACAAAATTAAATGTACAATAAGAGAACACAAATAACTTACAGATTTACTACCCCCTCCGTGTAGAAAGTAATTCAGTGCCTGTGGATCTCTAAAAGATATATAAAGAAAAGTTAAGATGGACCATTTTAAACATTAAAGCATTTAAAACATAAAAGTTGCTAAAATTTCAACTGTTTCAGTAGATAGCAGCACATGGTATTTTTCCTGTAGACTTGGAAGGCTAGCAGATTTGGCCCAGGTTAGCATTTGGCTGGTAACTACCAAGGAATAGCAGGAATATAGGCTAAACTGGGAAATTAAATAACATCCCAGAAAGTTGCAATGGAAAAAAAAGCTTTCATATTGTTACCCACTCCCCCCCCAAAATGTATGGTTGTGACTTTGTAACCATCCAGAGATGAAGTTGACCTGAGGACATATTTATATTTAATATATAAATTGGCTTATAAACAGAAACTATTTGTTTATCTTTTTCTTTCTGAGCATCTAAACTATATTTATCTTTTTCATCTCTTGGTTTATTTTGATATATTCTTCAGCCAAGCGAATTTTTATAGAGTATTTGTATAAATAATACAGCAAATTATAATCAGTAGTAAAAATTAGTTTTATCTTATATGGTAAAAATTTTCAAGTCAATTTTTCAGATAAATATATTTCGTTGGTTGTAGTCTTCTATAGATGAAATATGCTACAGCAAAAAGGTTACAACCTCCAAACCAGTAACCAAATTCAGGTGACCATCTATTGCAGGGGTGACAATGCATCATGCAGACCACACCCACCCCAGCTCCACAAAGGGGGGAAATGTCACATGACAGCAATGGAGTTTGACACCCGTGATCTATTGCCTGCTCGATGCTCAGAAAGATAGATTCACTAAGTGGCTGTTATTTAAACTCACATACAAAGAATTTGAGAAGATTCTGAACATATTATTTATTTCCTTGCATTCTTTTTTCTGATCCATGGAATTCTGCATGAGGTGTATGAAGCTTCCCCAACAATCGTCTATCCAACATCTGCATAATTTTACTACTGTATTATCATATTTTAAGTCATGCCTTGGGATTAAGAGAACTTAGATTTCATTTTTGCTTTTTATCTTTAAAATAGATGAAAATAAAAAAATATGGGGTGCAAATATGTAAATATATATGTGAAAATATTTTCCAATATGACAATGACTTTTCTTAAATAATATTAAATTAGGAGGAGGAAGGGCTTGTTCTACATACATTCTGGGTTTTTTTATACTCTGAGAACAGAAACAAATGAATGGGTAACAATATAAGCAGATGCAGATTTTGCTGATAAAAATCATAGAAGCCTATAAAAATTAGCCTGAAAAATTGGTTGTTACTTGAGAGATGAATTTTTATGTTTAATGTCTAAATAGGGCTTGCTTCATTCTACTTCCCCATGCTGTCAGTTACCCTATTTCCTTCTCTTATCTCCACTCAGTTTTGTTCCCTGACCTTTCTACTGCAACTATTTTAGACTTTTACTTTTTTTTTCTCCTGGAAGAAAGGTCAATTTGTGCATATCAGGGTGGTCTGTGAGTTTATTCCTGCCTTTTTTGAGATTTCTGAAAGTTATTCATAAAAAAATGCATGTGTGCATATATAACTATGTTGTACGTACATCTTTATGAGGGTGGAAGGAATCTTCAGGATTGATTTCAACTGAAGTTGGCAAACCTAGGTTCAACAGACAGCATAGGATGCTTACCTCTGTGTATTTTCTTTTTCTACTTTTCTTTTGGTGGATGTGTTTGATCTTAAACTTAGGGTTATCTTTTATGGAAATTGAGTAATTTTGATTTAATATGTTTTATGTATGTATTATTGATGATAAGACTATAAAAATAAACTGATACAAATTTTATTTCTTGTGTGTGTGTGTGTGTGTGTGTGTGTGTGTGTAGCAGAGGTAACTGCTTTGCAGAAAGAATACTGGTCTCATAATAAACTGAGTTCTTTTCATCAGTTCTGCTTCTGCAGCTTAATGTGTATCTAAAAAACTATTTTAAAAATTCATTTGGAACAGTGAAGAATGGCAAGAAAGCTGCAGGAAATAAAGGGAAAAATCAATTTTCCCTACTTCTTTTTGAAAATTTTAAATCCAGATTCCTGGGGAAAAATTGTTTATTTATTATTGTGAAACAAAATTATGCTTCAGAGGATAGTTTTAATTGGTTGCTTATCAAACAAGCTTTTCTTTTAAAATGAATTTTGAATTTTTTTCAAGCACAGGTATCTAAAATAAAATCTTACCCAATAAGATCAAAGAGACAGGACTCATCATCATCATCATCCATGACAACTAAGAAGAAAATAAAGTATTCATATTGTATCATAAAACACACTTGAAATTATCTTTTTATGAAAGACTGCTTTATGTAAGAAATTACACAATATATTTACCATGTAAATGCTTTTACCATGCTAATTTACTGTACTAGGTGAACATGTAGTAGGCTACATCCAGTACTATATGGAAGCTAATTTTCCTTATTATGAGTTACTCTTGCCCTCCTCCACGCACAACTCTGAAGAACTATTTAGATCTGTTCCAAAAATCCTCCCAATCCTTCAGATATTTGAGGTGTATTGATGGATGCAATGGGTTAGCATTAGGATACATGCTTACTTCTAGCACTAATCTATATCTGTAATCTAAGTTAGGTATATGTGTTCTATTTCTGGACCGCAGTCTAAAAAAAATGAAGTCTGATCCATATGAGACCAGAATCCCAATTTGTATTGGTACTATATTGCAGTTTTTCTTCCCCAAAATATTGTCATGGAAAATTGTCAACTTATAATGTGGCTGCCATCCCCAAAATATTTATTATTTGTCAGGATTGTCTTGTATGGAGCCAGCGTGGACCTAAATTGAATGTTCCACACATCAAGTTTTTTGTGTGTCCCATTTGTTTGTTTAGCCTGTGAATGGTTTGTTTTTACTGCATTTTAGCTAGTTCACAACTTTATACTGTTAACTGATTTTTGTCACACACAATATTATAAATAATGCAGTGCTGGGTGTGTGTAAGTTTCCTGCTTTACAAGATGTTTGTACTATTTGGTACATCAGTTAGATGGCTCACAACAAATAATTCCCAAATCTGAGTGTACTTGCCCATTCTATTCTTCTAACTCAAGAGATTTGCCAAATTCAGATATATATTGCATTATTTCCTAACATATTTTACTATTTCATCCAAATGAATTAACAGTACTTTCCGCTGATTCAAGCTCATTGTGCCATAGTATGTCCATGACTGATCCTAAATCACCTGAAGTGCATCCAGATGTTTTGTTTAGAGAATTCTACAACTGTCTTCTAATTGTACACTCCACATTTTGAAACATGCTTTCCATCTTCCAGTCAAGAATCTTACAACTTCAGTGTTGATCACTGTTGTTATTTTTTTCTCATGAAATCTTTCCAATAGTTGGGAATTATGAGTATGATCCAGAGCCTCTGAAAAGCAGAGTGTGACAAGGTGGAACATCAACATGTGGTTCACAGACTATGATTTTCAAAAATATCCACTGTGAAGTTGAAACCTTATATTTCCAATTCTCTTTATGTGCTTGAAGATATTGTGATAAATTATGAAAGCTATAAGCCAATTTTATTAATAAGACATTTCCTCCTCATATCTCCTGTACTGACTTTATTACCTAAAGTGCTCTTAAAGACACAGGTAGGCCAACAAAGATATCTAATCTACCTTTCTGCACAGGTGCTCAGCTATTTCCTGTGCCTGGATCTTCTAACAATTAGGATTTTATTCTGGAATATAATGGAATATATAACAGATAAATTATTTAATGAAAAACTACATCTCAGTTTTAATTGGTCTTGTTTTTCTGCCTTTACCTTTTCAAGGGAATGTAAACTGCTGCAAAAGAACATGGTGTAACTGACATTTATCACAAAACACAACTTGTTCCTTCTGTCCTATCTATCTGTATGTTTTTATTTATCCCACCTTTTTTTCATATACAACTCAATGTGGCAAGTATACCACTACTCCTTCCTTCCTTCTACTTTCCTCTCAACAGCCCTGAGCTGGGCTAAGAGAAAGTAACTAAAGCAGGATCGGAACTCGGTTTCTAGGTTTCTAGCCAGCATCTTAACCACTACACCAAACTGGCTCTCTTTCTTCTTTCCTCAAATTTATTTTATCTCTGTGGGTTTTTTATACAACCTTTAGGGAAGTTTAATATGATCAAGTGTATATATATTTTCACATTTTATTTGAAACCATGAAATGATTTAACATACTGTATTCAGCCAATTTTTATTAAAAGAAACTGGTTTTAAAAAAACATAGCTTAGATGAATCCAACCTTTTCCTAGACAATAATTCCACACATCTTCTATATACATGTTAATTATTCCTTGAAATAAAGAATGTTACTATATTCTATGTTACTTAAAGCAGTTTCAAATTGTTTGATATTATTTTGATAAAATTATATTAATCAAGGGACACTGCATTAGATTCAGAATCCCCCAATAGATTACTGCAAGGGTCTTCATTAAGATTTGTGGACTTCCAACTCCCAGAATTCCTGAGCTAACATGACTGGAGGAGGAATTCTTGGAGTTGAAGTCCACAAGTCTTAAAGTTATCAAGTTTGAAGTCCCCTAGGCTTACTGCATAGTAGTATTTCAAGGATAAATTAGCATTATAATTACAAATACTTTGTCCTCAATTTTTCTCCCCCTAGTTATGAAGAATATGTATAAATTTTATTAATATGTATATTTTCAACCATTGGTTTAAATGTAAAATAATCAAACATTACTCATTTCTTACTTAAATAGATGGGAGAAGACATGAACACAAATGACACAGTGTCTATGGAGTAAGAATGTGTGATTGCAGAACCTCTGTTTATAATCAGTCCTACTTCATATTAAATGTGCTTATATGTTTTGGTAATTTCCACTGGAAGGCAGGAAATTGGAAACATATTGTTTTCTCTAGCACATTAGTTTTACTCCTGATAATTTATTTGTGAGAAGTTGTAAAGTTATTCACTAGCTTGCATTTACGGTTCTGGTCTCGCTAACAATGTGGCAGATGTGTCTATAACTTCTCTAGATTGTGAGTTTATAAAGCTAGATGATATCATTGGCCTTATGATGTTTCCCAGTATATTGCTACAACATTTGCCCAGCTCATATACTAGAACAGGGACATATAGAAAGTAAGTTGAACAGAATGGCTAACAGTTAACAACTGCCATATTATTCTTTAGATTCATAATAAAAAAAAAATCATCTGCACATGCTCATTTATCAATTATCTACAAATATATACACTGAATCTTTCATAACATCCTTTTTGCTTTGTAACAAAGTAAAACAAATGTGATCATTTATCAGTGATAAATTCTAGTTAAAAAGTGAGTTTTTTTCTGTTGTGCTATTATTCTAATAAAGCTAGACCTTCTCAATAAATTAATAAACTAAGAACTTTCTTCAAGTTTTCTATTTATCAAAATGAAATAAAAGATTGTGAATGTATCTAAACTGTGAATACCACCTGTGCTACAAATGAATTATAACCATGATTGAGAATAAGGGTGTATGTTAATTTTACATGCATTTGAATAGGAAGCAGCACTCCTAAGATTGGCAGGAAAAAATAAGCACCATCTCATAAAAGCTATGTAAATTAGTTTTAGCAGACTGGGCCGCTCATTAAATGGACAAGATTTATAAAGGTTATAAATTGGTATTCTCATTAGTTGCAAATTCCCATAATTTCTTTCCATCTGTATTTTACATATGTACAGCTTTTTTTAAGTCTTAGAAAACAAACAATTCTAGTTGAAAGTATGGTTTGCTTTTAGATTCAAGGTCCTTTCTAGCACCATGAGGAAACATTAATAATGTCATTCTTTGAACATAAATACTGTGCCCTGGGACTTCTATGTGGTAAGATCTGCTGCTGGAAAAATATCATAAATATATCCAGAAGCTCATCTTTTCAGTTTGAAAAATATGCATGCTGCATAAATCTAGGCCTAACAAAACATAATTAACTAAAATGTGCATAAGCCAGATAAGAATTCCCGATGAAAACACAATTTTTCAATGTCTCCTTTCAAAGCTAGTTTCTTTGATGCCAAATTACTTGCCAAATAAGAAATCCTCTTCTTCCATGAGACTTAATGAAGTCAGACATTTTATTGAATTTACAATTTACTAAACTGCTATAAAATATTTTAAATGGGGGGAGGATTATACAGAAAAATGTACATTTATTCCTTGAAGGAAAATTGAAATATTAAACAATATATCTGAATTGCTTTTTTATTTAAACTTTTCCTTGGTTTCTGGATATATTTAAACCGGATATCTAAACCAATGTGTTAGATAAACCCCTTATAAACAATTGCCTAGGTGCAATGGTAACTGCACTATCCAGTTTAGATTGCCAAAAAGCAATGAAAGATGTACCCTAACGATAAACACTAACACTTAGAACTTTGTTGAAAAACTACTACTTTTTATTTATTGCATCAGTTATTTATTAGGAAACATAATAAACCAAAACCAAATCCAAATCGTATTTCTTCCATTGAGGATATATGAATGGCTGTACAAAAAGATGAAATTAACTTTACTGTCACATTATAAACTTATCAAGGCAATTATTTCCTAATATTAATCGTTTCTTAAATTTATTCAAAAGGTTTTAGTTCTGAAAAATTAGATCAAAGGAAGACGTAATAGTAGGAAATTATTCAAAAATGCAACATATCTACTACTACTGTTTGCCCCATTTTGTTTCCTGTGAAATATCTAAAAAAACCAAAGTTATATTAAAATCTGCCACTACTTCAATTAAGTATTCTGAGATTACAGAATGTAAGAGTACTTGAGTTTTAAATAAACATTTTACTTCTTTATCAAGTGTTCAAAAATAGAAATGTAATGGCAGTGGAAGGTAGGAAAAAGTGTGGTCAAGTTTTATTATGTTCCCTTTCTAGATTTTCTGGAATAGGACCTCACTGACACATGTAAAATTGTGTTATTGCAAAAATGAATTTGAAAGGCCATCCAATTGCCCAAGGTCCTCCATTTTTAATCCACAGATCACACACTGCTTTTTAATTACTTGCATCACATAGATGTTTTCCTCTATTGAATCTATGTGATTTATACGTTCGAGGCTAGACTATTTCAAGGATTTATATCCCAATCTGGTGGGGAACACAAAATGGTAATTTCTATAAAAGGAGTTCACAACAATTAACAATGATAATCGTTGCCATTTGTCCCCATAACCACTAGTATTCTTCATAAGAAGGTAGGTTATAAATGAAAATAAAGACGTAAGAACTTTTTAAAACGAATGCTAATTGTTCTATAGAACAAGAAACTGGGCTTGTAATTATTGTTAAAAGCAATAAATTACGTGGCACCATCAACCTTCGTACGATTTCTCCTTCAAATGAGTCGCAGTAAAAGATATTTCACCCCTTTGGAAACCATTTCATAAAGGTGAAGAAGGTCCCCGTTTCCATTTTTGCTCTAGTTTGAGAGAGGGAAAGCAACTCCACGAAATAGAGGAAGACGACGCCCCAGCCGAAGGAGAAAGCCTCGTATTAAAAGCATTTCAAAATGGCGGCCGCAGGGAGCGAAAGAGAAGAAACTGCGCCACAAATCCTGGCCGATGGCCAGGCAGCGCCATCTTCCCTTGTTTCTGACCCTCCAGCCGGCAAGGCAAGAGACCGGCACGGAGAAAATAGGATTCTTGTGAGGAAAAATTGGCTCCGTCGACTGAGCTTTGGAAATGCATGTTCAATTCGGAAATTCTCCGAGATTAGACAATTTAGGAAGGATGAAATTAAGCCCGACAAAACACAAAGGCCTGAGTTTCCTTCTCAGCAAAAATCTACCATTTCTGCAAACCTACTGTACTTGCATTCCCTATTAAGAGTATTGCCCACTCCTCAACCCAAAAAAAAAACGCACCCAAAATGATCCATCGGGTTTTCAATCCATTCTTTATAAATTTCTCTCCACCCCCTCCCGTTCTTTAACCAAAACCAACTCACGATCATTTTTTGGAAAATTAATCCCATGCCAGATACAGTCTTCAAAAGGCAAAAACGAAAGCATTGTTACAGATGTAGAATATTTATTATACTTGCAGATTAAAAAAAACATAAATAACAACAGAAATGGATTTTAAATCCTACCGACCCAGAATTATATACACCGAAACAAATCATTTCCATTCCTTGAAACAAGGACGCAAAGGCAAGAAATTGGTGGAGACTGGAGACAAAAAAATAATAAGGAACGAAATTAAGAAGAAGAAAAAAGAATCCCCGTCAAAAAGCGCAACCCATGCTAGAAAGGCGGTGAAAATTAATACGAGATGGGAAGAAATGATCGCTGAAAACAAATCCAACCGGGGAGGCAAAAGAAAAGAAAAATCCTCGGCAGCTTCCCGCCCAGGAGCGAGAAGACGGAGCGTCTCCATTTTCCTGAGGAGGAGGAAGAAAGTGTTCCACAGACCAGAGAGCTTTAGAGAAAAGCAAAGAAACGAGGGGGGAAAAAAAGAGGGAGGAGATTTGAAAAGATTATTTTTCTTTCTCCCTCTCCCTCTCACACACACATACACACTTGATTCCCCTCTTCCTCACAGACACACACCCTCAGTCACACTCGCAGACACACACACACACACACTTTCTCTCCCTCTCTCGACGGCCAAGGGGGTGGCCAGGAGAGGGGAAAAAAAGCCCAAACAAAACAATAACTAATTTTAAACCGGCTCAATCAGTGAGTCATTAAAAGAGGGGCTTTTCTTCCTCCTCTCCTCTACATTTGCATGGCCTCCGAGAGAGGGGCAGCCCCCCCACCATCCTCTCCCGCCGCCCACCTTGCAGCTATCAGCCTAGCCCTGAAACCTTATCTGTCCTCTCTCTCTCCCCCTCTCTCTCCTCGCTCTCTCTCTCTCTCTCTCTCTCCCTCCTTGTTTGCCTCTCCCCCTTTAAGAATCACATTTTGGAGGTGCCCTCAGTAGCCACCACCACAGCCTCTTCCTGCAAAAGAAATAAATATTTCATTTCCATGTGAATTAACATCTGCCCACCAAGCACCACCCGCGCAAAATCGCCCTCCTCCTCCTTTCCTCTCCTCCTCCTCTTCTTTTCTCTTCTCCTTCTTCTTCCTCCCTATGTCCCCTCTCTCTCTCTCCTCTCCTCTCCTCTCTCTCTCCAGATATATATTTATATACCTAGCCCCAGAGCCAATAGCTCTCTGGGCTGAAACCTAATATCCTGGTTTTGGCAACTCCTGGTTGTTAATTTGCTCCTCTTTCTTTTCTGTCTGTCTGGAGATAGATTTTCCCCCCTCTCTTCCCTCCCCGAAGGAAGGGAGGAAGGAGGTTGTGTGTTTTTTTTTTCCTTGAAATTTTTATCACAAAATTATAATACACTCAAAGGGAAACTCACCGTCATGAAAAAGCAGTGCCTTGTCAACGGGGTTTCTTCGCCATCACATCAGGGGCTGGCAGTGTAAGAGAGAGCGAGAGAGCGAGAAAGGGAGGGGGGGAGAGAGGGAGCGAGCGAGCGAGCGAGCAAGGAAGAGAGAGCGAGGATAGCGAGAACCCAGTGCGGGAGTTCCAGCTACAAGGCGAGGAGAGAGGCTGCGGGGACGCCGCTACCGCATTCACATACATTATTAGGAGCGGCGGTACTGAACTATCGCTCGCTGTTGTTGCTGCTGCTCCTGCCTGCCTGCCTGCCTGCCTGCCTGCCTGCCTGCCTTTACATGGGCGAAGAAGGCACTTTCCAAAGATTGGCCTTGCTTTGAAAAAAAGAAGCTGAGTTAGAGGCTGCAAAGGTATAATCTCTTGACCCTTCGCAGGAAAGCAAAAACTTTACTTTTGGATAATCGGGAAATGTCTGTGTGTCTAATGGAACCAACGTTGCAATTTACGTTGCATCGTTGCCTTTGGGCCCTCGCTGCAATTTTTTGTTTTTAGGAAAACAAGAAAAATACTGCTTTAACTCAAATTCTCCCCTTTCCTTCCCTCCCTCAAATGACGTAAACAAAGGAAGTGGAAAAGGTTTGGGATTATTTAAACGGAACTGAATGTTAGAGGTTTAAAAAAAGAAAGAAAGCTGCCCATGCACAGTCCTACCAACTTTATTCAGTCCTGACTTCATTCTCATTATTACTATTCCCATAGCTTGTCAACCTGCTTTCAAAATAGTGTTGCAGGATGCAACACAGCAACTTTAAGTATAGAGTATATAATGCATCTTTTTGAGTCCCCCAGACCCCCCAAATAGTATCTATAGTTAATGCTATCCAAACACAAAGATAAATAAATGGAAATATTCTCATTCTTTTGATGTAAGGATTTTTTTTTCCCACTGTGCACTGAAATATTTAAAACTACCATGGATTGGTTCATTTTTAATGAGCGTCATAAATCTTTCAGAATACTAAGAAAAAGATATAAACTTTATTGTTTCTTTTGGGTCAATTTAGAAACAAAATTAAGAAAGGTTGGATTGCAAAGGGAATTTAGACTTGTAAAGGAAAATTAACTGCGAAACAAAAAAGAAGAGAGGTTGACAGGATAGTAAGAGGTGAAAGGGAAAGAGCAGAGCTCAGATCCTACTTTGCTTCTGTCTTCAGCCCCAGGAGGAATTTTGATGAAATGGACCTATGGTATGTGTGAAAGTATGGAACAGCAACTCAAAACAAATAAATAAGGTATACCTAGCTACCATTAACAAGTTTAAGGCTCCAAAAAAAAGCTTAAAGGATCATCTCAAGACCTTTCTTATGACCTTTGAAGATCATAAAGAATGGGTATAATGAAATAGGCCTAATATTTTCCTGTCTTCAAAAAGGAAAAGGAGCTAAATAATTAAGACAGGACAGTTTGATGTTGACACAGACCAAGGAACAAATTATTGGGTAGTCAGTTTGTCAGGATTTAGAAAATAAGGCATTGCTTGGCAAGAACCACAATGAAAAAGTAATGTCAAATTAATCTTTTCTGAGAGAATACCAGTTTAATTGATCACAGGGAGTGTGGACACAGTATCCGAACTTCAGCAAAGCATTCAATGATGTATTTTATGAAATTCTACCAGCTTACGGGAAGTATTAAGATTCAGCAGGATCTTATCAAACAGAAACATTGAGCAAAAGCCATATGCCAAAAGGATCTTGATGAATCACAAACTGAACATTTGATAAGAAAATAATTTTATTTGGCCATCAGGAAAAAAAATGTTAATAGTAAGAGCAGTTCACCAAGACTATCCCAAGACTAGTAGACTTTCCATTTGAAGTATTTAAAAAGAAGATAAATGAGCATCTGTCAGAAATATTGTAGTAGTGAATTCCTGCACTGGGGTGAAGGGGCTGGATTAGATTATTTTCAATATCCCTTCCAATCCCTCCATTCTTTTGACTCTATAATTAAAAATATCTTACAACTGTTTTAAGCACCTTTTAAGTGCTTTTTAAGTCTTTCTGTGTAAGCCTAAAAGACAAATTAAGTTTTAAATACACTTAATCGTTAAACATATAAGGAAGTGTATTTACAAACACATTTCTGTTATTTTGTGAACAGAATATGCTGTTGGAACCATACTTTCAATTTTAAATTGGTCATATCCTTCTATGGAAGGTTTACTAATGTAAGAAAAGCCTTGCCAATATTTTATTTTTATTCTATCCTATTATTTTCGTTTGTGTGCTATTCAGCAAAATGAACTGAAGGGAAAATTGCTAATTTTACTAGTGTTGGGAAAACTTTAATCCCCCCTCCTCAGTATTATTACTTCCATTATTTTTAGAAAGAAGTTTAAACTATGCTTTTTTTCAAGTACATGTACACATGTACTTGAAAACATGGACATACCTTAAAAGTGTGATGTCTGACTGCTGAGATAATTTATTGAGATCTTTCCCATTATATGTATCAAAAGTAAATCTTGTTGAGTTCAGTTATACTTTAAGAGAAGTATTTATGTCATTGGGTTGCATTGCATGTATTACAATGGATTATAAGCTAAACTACAAAGCGTCAAGACACTTTAACATTCATGTGAGTTAGGGATCAAGAATATTTTAATTATCTTAAATGGTAACAACTTAAAATATTTTCTTCATTCTTTGCTTTTAGATTTAGTTTATTTGTTTTATGTATAAACCATCATAACTAAATCCTAAATTACATGTACTTCATAATTTACAGAGCTTTCCTGAACTTGGTATTCTAAGATTGCTGGTGTGTTTTCATTTATTTTAGATAACTGATATATTTCTTTCTGCACCTACTCAGATTTATTTGAAACTACATCCACCAGTTCAGTCATAGAAATATGCAACTGGGGTCAGGCGTCTGATAGTTGATGTCATGTTAACCTTTCACCTTCAAAACTTATAGGGCCTTTCAAATGAAATAGTGGAATGGTGACAAAGCATCTCAGTAATTGAAACAAAACTCTGTTTTTGGTATGCACTTCAATGTATCCTAAAGCACTTTATTAACAGACTTCTTCTACTTTTGTTTTCCAAAAAGAATTCAAAGGAAGAACAGAAGAAAACCAGATTGGACTTTTAGTTCCACCAAGAACCAATTGGTAATGGATAACATCTAATTTGTTAGCTAAATCCCAGATGCCATAGAAGGGAGTAGAAAAGGTGAAGCAGAGCACTGATTGGATTATGTTGTCTTTCCGTTTCAAGGTCGGTGTAATTGCCGGTCAGTTTTAAACTGCTTTATGAGAGAGAGGGAGGTAGGAAATCTATAGCATGGAAATGTCCTACTAGGGAATTGCTAGTTTTTACTATAATGAAAAGGTACTACAGTCAGAAAACTGCATCTCATCCTCAACTACTATTTTTTCCTGCTATTTCAGGAAATTTGTGCAGGGTAAAATGGAATTCTCTCTCTTCTTGCCATTATTGTCTAGACATTATTGTCTAGAACTGAGGTTCTGAATTGGCAGCTAATTATGAATTTAAAATATTTGCTCCAGTGAAAAATATCTAGGGAAATAAAGAAAGAAAAAAGTAAATGTTTCATTTCCCTCTATCTCTTTCAAATCTTGCATATACAAATTCAACTGTAAACTGGTTAAAGACCTGAAATAAAAATCTCCTAATTTGAGGGGCTGCTGTAAAGAAGAGAGGGTAAACCTATTCTCCAGAGAAGTAGTCGCTGTGGCCCACCGGTGTGCCATGAGAAAATTTTGGTGGGCCGCAGAGAAATCTCACCCCCAGAGCATTCCCCCCAAAGCAATTAATCCAGGCTGCGCAGAAACACAAGGCTGCGCCGTCCACATGGCCCACCCACTCACTCTTACCTGGCAAACTTGTCTGCTAAGTTGCTATTTTTCCTTTTTCTAACCATCATCTCTTCTGCTGTTCCGGGAGATTTAGATTAGCTAGGAAGCAGGAAATGGTTGGATTTCTTGCTTTCTAGCTAAGCACAGCTGAACTTCCCTTAGGACTGAAGGTTTGCTTGCAAGCAAATTTGAGAGACTGAGCTAGATGATGGCAGATAGATAGATCACTGAATGATTCTGTGAGCAACTCAATCTGCCTGCTTTGCCTGATTTTGAATTTTTTTAAATGAAAAATTCAACATTTACATGCATGGTGTATTGTGAGTTAATTTTGTGAGTTTGCTTGCAAACAAATTTTATGTGACAGACTGAGCTAGACGATGGCAGATAGATAGATTTCTGAATGAATCTGTGATTCTGTGAGCAACTCAACCTGCCTGCCTGCTTTGCCTGTTTTGGGGTAAAAGTTGCTCTTTTTTAATAAAAAAAAAATCAATATTTATATAAATATTTATAATATTTACATACAAGCCATGCCCAGCCAGTCACATGACCACCAAGCCACACCCACAAATTAGGACACACCCACAGAACTAGTTAGTGGTCCCTGAGGTCCAAAAGGTTGGCGACCCCTGCTCCAGAGCACCAGAAGGCAAGACAAGAAAAGACGGAAACTAATCAAGAAGAGAAGCAACCTAGAACTAAGGAGAACTTTCCTAACAGAACAATTAGCCAGTGGAATGGCTTGCCTTCAGAATGGCTTTTTGTCTGGAATGGCATAAGATCTGCTTGAACAGCGGGTTGGACTAAAAGACTTCCAAGGTCCCTTCCAACTCTGTTATACTATTAATTGTATCTGGATTGCTGTCTAGATGAACATTTATGTTTCAATGCTCAACTTTTTTTATACACACAACTCAAGGCAGCAAACATACCTAAAATTCTTTCTTCCTCCTATTTTCCCTACAGCAACAATTCTGTAAGATTAGTTGGGCTGAGAGAGTCATTGGCCCAGAATCACCCAGCTGTCTTTCATGGCTAAGGCAGGACTAGAATAGCAATAGGAAGAGCACTTAGACATATACTGCTTTATAGTGCTTTACAGCC